TATGCATGTACAGTTAGGTGCAGAACGTGCCAGTCAGTCAACAAATCCAATTACTGACAAAAATCTGAGGAGTGTGAATATCTTCTGGGATTCCTTTACAGTCCTCCCATGGTTCAGTAGGTCTACTTTGACCATATATTCAAATGTACATGAATTTAAAGACAGGAGAAGACCAAAAGGCCAAGCTGATTCTTTGTAACATGGCAGTTATTTGTGGTTTTAATAGAAATTCCAGCACAAAATAATTGAAATGTGAATCAGCTCAGACATTAGTTACCTGAAATAAAGAAACATAAAATACTGGACAACAATGTTGTGCTTCTATGTTTGCTTCCACAAACTTATCAATTTCACAGCAAAGTGATTAACTGGGTTTAGGCCTTGCGCTTTTTAAAAGATAAGTTGCAGATTGCTCAGTATAATGATTAGTTATAGAATAAGGTCTGGGGTTTCCAATTCACCTTTAATTGTGAAACTCAAGTCACTTACAATTATAGACTGAGATTGAGAGCAGCCAGCAAAAAAGTCTTCTGATCCTGATTAGCTACAATACCAGTCTGGGTATGAGTATTGTTTCACAGAATTTATTAATTTATTACAATAAGTACAAATGAATGATATTCAATAAAGGCAATGAATTTGTCTATCTTTGGATACCAGCTTATAACTTCTGGCTGACTGAATTTATTTTTCTTTTAACTGAAGTTCTTCTTCTGTCTTCTCTTCTTACTATGCACCAAACTGCTAATTAATCCGTTCTAACAACATCCCCTATGCTGATCCAGTGGTCTTCCTGACCTTTGATTGGCTTGGCAATGCATGAATGGCAAAGTATTTGTATTGGATTGGTATGTGCCCAATTTCATATTGGTTTCTTAAAGCTGGTGGTCACTTCATTGATATAACATGCTGCTATTTCCTGACTGGTTTCCTAAGATGTTCATAATTTGTGAGACCATTTTTTTTTGTCATTACATTGTAGCTAGATCAAACCCATTGCCACCATGTCATATAAATGTCCATTACCAACAAGTGGTTGGCTAGATTGCTGCCTTCATACCTTTTTGTGATTGTGTCTGCAGGCCTACATGTTTTTATTTCATTCGTGGGACACAGGCATCGGTGGCTGGGCCAGCATTTATTTCTCATTCCTAGCTGCCCTTGAGAAGTTGGTGGTGAGCTGCCTTCATGAATTACTGCAGTCCATTTGCTGCATGTGGACTCATAATGCCATTAGGGAGGGAGTTCCACCAATTTGAGCCAATCACGCTGAATAAACGGCATTAAGTTTCCAAGTTGGGATGGTGAGTGGCTTCATCACAGCAGTGCTTAGCTCCAGATTCCTGGTTGTAGTTAGTTACAACTTGATCCATGGTATTATCTTTTCCAGCTCCTTTTTCAGCCTCCGTCTTTTAAACCCTAATCAGTCCCATTCGCTTCCTTTGTAGCTTCTAGCAGTATGAGTGAAGTGTACCACTGTTATAGTGCGTACGTTGTTGCTCCCCACTGGGGAAGCGAGCTCATAAATTGAACCCCACTATTTCTGGAGTTGTATCAAATGTTAAAGTCTGTTTTTATTTTTAAAAGAACATATGCCATCTCAATTTACCTGATTTTCGGATCAAGTTGATAGAAAGCACAAGCCGGGATTTTATACTAACCAAGAATTATTATTCACTGCAAGTAATTAAATCATAGCTAGAGGTAAACAGATTAAAAACCCACTGGAATGTAACACAGCAAGTTAAACCTCGAATCCACTTATAAGCTTCAAGTTTATTTCCAGCTCCAAACTGTTCAGCCAGCAGAAGATTAATCAGTGTTGTTGGCAAAGAAAAGATCTTTCATTAATAACTGTGTATTTAGTCAACACGTCTAATCAACTTCTTGTTGCCAACAAGGACCATATTAGTACATATTGTTAGCAATCTGAATTTCAGTTGCTCTCTGACCTGCTGTGTCCCGCCAGCTCCACGCTGTGTTATCTCTGACTCCAACATCTGCAGTTCTTGCTATCGGAGTGAGTTGAACTTCAATTCCCGCTGGTTTAAAAAGTTCTTTACAATGCCTCCCATGGGCTACAGATTAACTACTTTCAAGCCATTCTTTCAAACACTTGGTTTTTAAAGCAGTTCTTTTCATTCCAGTCTCCAGTTTTTAAGAGCACAATATTAAAAAGACAGAGCCCTTACAAGGTTCCGGCATTTGATTTTCACCTCCATCTTCAGCCACCTTCTGTTCTGATCTGAGGACCTTGGAGATGTCCCAGCTGTCCTTTTTTGCCCTGACTACTCATCTTCATTATACTCTCTCACCCTCTATCATTCGTGAGTTTATGGGGGTGACAGAAACAGGGTGTTAGAGAGGAATTTTAAAGAGGAGTCGGAGTCCTGCGTTCAGCAGTACAAATCAATCTTTGAGGAATGAAACTGCCATCCTTACCTGGTCTGGCCTACATATGACTCCAGACCCACAGCAATGTGGTTGACTGTTAACTGTCTTCTGGGCAATTAGGGATGGGCAATAAATGCTGCCTAGCTAGCGACACCCTCATCTGGCTAATGAATAAATCACTTTTACAGCTTTATCAAGTCAATAAAAGATGTTTATTTGGTTTCTTTAAGATTATGCTGGACCTGACCTTTTATCGCCCTTGCCTTATAATATTTCCCAACATTCTCCATCTATTCTTTAGGCTATTCCTGAGGTTGTGAACTTACAATTGTTTATTTTCTCGAGGTTATAATGACCTTGTTTCACAATTGTTTCTGCCCATTTTGCTATGTTATATAGCTTTTGGTATTCTTTTAAAAGTTATCTTGATTGTACATTTTTGATGATCTAATCTCCCTGCTGATGGAGTTAAAGCTTCTCTTAACAACCTATCGCTATTTATTTAATGAAATTCAATTGAATCCCTTAATGTTTGTTAATTGATTGCATTTATAATTTCAATATACCCATATGGGTGTATTTAATGAGTAGAGACAATTACCTAAAAAGACTTGATTATTGTAGGATCAGACTTTTCTTCTAGCCTGCATTGAATAACAAAATTGAAACTAGCTGGTACCAAGGCCTTTTTTATAAAGGTTTACCCAAGGGAGCTTATCAAAACCAGGCTCTGCTTCTAAGGCTGATTGCCTGTAGAAATCATCTGATTAAATTTCCCAATACATTAAAACTACTATCATTTTACAAATATGTGTCTACTCTAATATGGAATTATGGTTATTTAAAAGGCATCATTTAAGGTGGATCAAGCTTTCCATTTCTCTTTCATATTAAAATAGGAAATTTCACATCATAAGGTTTCCATCTGAACTACCCACATCAGAAAAAGAAGTCTTACTCTGTGTTCTAGCCCCATCTTTCTAAGACTCTATTGTGATTCTCAGAGGCATTTTGTGATCTGTCTGTGAAGGCCATGACTTGAGGTACATTAAATGCTGCATCACCTACAATTCTGTTCAACTGTTTTGTGTCAGATTTTTTAAAAAAAGCCACAACAGCCATTTCATGTCACATTTTGCCAAGGGCAGCTGCAATTTAGTTGTACAGAGCAGCACATAACTGTCAGTCATTTCTGCTGCCTGAGTACCAGCTGTAATCCTTTGGCCATCAACATGGGTTCTTATTACAAAAAGTAGTGAGTTTTTGAATTCTTCCAAGAGAGAATTTCTCAGAGAGCTTTTTACATGGCATTTTCTTCTTATGTTCATATTGACCTTTCAAAATTACTTTGCTCCACCCTTTCAAATTCAGAATAGGTTTACTCAAGCTGTTTCCTCAAATTTAGAAAATTTTGCCTGTACACTTCAGAAACTAACCAATACAACTGAAAATAGCTTTTCTCTTTCAATGAATAATCCTTAGAAGCCTTCTCTGACATAGCATCTTTCTTCCAGCACACAATGCAGTCTCGGAATAAGGAAAAATCAATTTGGCTAGACTTAAGGAACAAAATAGGTACTAATTACATTGCTAGGTGTAGCCTATAGATCATCAACTAGTGGAAAGGATGCAGAGGAATAAATCTGCTGGGGAATTAGAGGCCAACATTAATGAGTAGTGATAATGGGGGACTTTAGTCAGTTCACCAAATATAGACTGGTAGCGTGAGGGTCAAGTGCTCCTAAGTTGTCTTCAGGAGTGTTTCCCACAGCAGTATGTGAATGAATGATGTGAACGAATGATTTATTGTCACATGTATCATGCAATGAGAAGGACAGCAAAATACAGTCAAAAGCTCTTTCAATTTTGCCATGATCTGGCACCATTTTGAATAATTTTAAGAGTACAGAATAAAAAGAATGTAAAGATAATACTTAAAGCTTCATTAGTACTTCTAGTTTTTTGGCTTAAAGTATGTCTTCATTCCCACAAGAAAGAATGTACTGTTGGTCCTGGTTCTAGGAAATGCGGTGGGCCGAATGGTGTGTCAGTTGGGGAACATTGAAGAGACAGTGAACATTGTATTGTTAGGTTCTACATGGTGGTGGAGAATAACCAGAATGAATCTAGAGTGAGAAGAATCAATTGGCAGAGAGTGGGCTTCAGTATAGCAAGATCAGAACTGGGCAGGCTTGACTGCAATGAGAAGTTTGTGGGAAAATTTCGAATTGAATAGTGGGATAGCTTCAAAGAGGAGATGGTTTGGGTTCGGTTCAGGTCTATCCCCTCAAATGGGAAAAGTATTATAAATGAATCCAGAGCTCCCCTGGATGACAAGGAGATAGAAATTAAATAAGAAAAGTTATACTATGATAGGTGGCAAGTGGAAAATATAATACATTTGCTAGTTTGCCTTGATCTATCCTTGGTACCTCCTCAAAGAATTCTAAATTTGTCAGGCATAGTTTCTCGTTTATGAAGCCATGCTGACTCTGCTTGATTATATTGTGTACTTCCAAATGTTCTGTTATTTCACTCCTTTATAGTAGGCTCTAACATTTTCCCAATGACATGTTAATATTAAATTAAGATTTTCTTTGCTGCAGATATACAAAGTACGAGTGCACATTGATCTTTCATTTATGGATGAACAAGACACAAAAAATACCATTCTTCCTTCCTCGACACGTCAGTGCCATTTCGCATTGCTAATATTGTTAGCTCTGTTGCTGGTGATTCTGAATTTATATTATTTCAAGGTATGTAGAATGGTGTAGTCAACATTTTGAAAGTACCGTAAATCCTCTGTATCTGTAAGATAAGAACTTGCAAATTTGCCTATTCGCACCAAAGAGTGAGCAACAACAAAATTCAAAATCAGCAGGCAAAACCCGTGTATCTGCCATTTTTAACCTATTTTAACCCATATTTTAAAGGGACTCTGCACTTGTGAATTTCATCATTCATGGGGTTTCTCAGGAATGAAACTCTCACTCATATATGGAGGAATGACTATAAATGAATTGTGTTCACTGAGTTTCAAAGTCATATTGTCTGATTCTTGAGTTTAAAACCTTTTGGGCTAATGGGCAGGATCCAGAGTTCAGGATTTACTTACTTTTCTATTCGTCTCTTTCGCTGCCTCTGCCTCATCATTAAGACATTAGGACTCAAACTATTTGCAACCTGATGGATAAGTTGTCACCATTATGAACAAGTAGTAGAAAGCTCCTCCCACTCATTAATGTCAATTCTTCAAGTAGAACTTCAGTGTGTGTTGTGTTTCGTGTGTCCTTCTTACAATGTTAGTCATTTGTAAGTTGAGAAACCAGGACCAGGCTGAGAAGACAGTTTTTGACTGTTCGGACAGATGACCTGAGAAGAAAGGAAGAGACTTCTGGGTGCTAAAATGTGCTTGGCTCCAGCACTTTGTTCAAACATTCAAACAAAATAATCCTCCAGCCCTTTCCCTTCGCTCCCTCCCATCCCCATACACTTTGAGTGCCATTCATGCTTTTTACATATCATCCATTGCTCCTTATACATCCTGTGACACCCTATGCTTTGCCATCAATCACTTTGGCCCCTCATTCTCTCAATACCAGCCTCTGCCCCCACCCATTTCTAGGGCCCCTCATGTTCCCTATGCCACCCTGTGCCCCTTTACCCATCTCTGGCCCTACATACCAGCTTGTGCTAAACCATAATTCCACACTTTCCTACTTAACCTCTTAACCCTACTCTCCTTCCCATTGTTACTGAAGCACACAGAAAAAAAGTGCTGTATTGCAGACTGTAGTCTATTAAGAAAAACACTGTCATTGATGAAAACATATATGTCTGTCAACAGCTATCAAAATGAAATGCTTAGACAACTCTCATGTTTCTTGACCGGTCTTAACAAGTTGACACATTTTAACAGTTCTTCTCTGAACCAAGAAATAGGCCTGTGGATTATTAGCCCAGTGAGATTAACACTGTGTCACCCAGCAACTGCAGCAGGTGAAGAAGCTGGATCATTGTGGACCTTGCATCAGCACCTACATCCCATGATTGAATAAAAAAAATTGATTGATTTTAATTCCACAGCAACCAGCAGCATTAAATTTAATTAATAAAACTGGATTTTTTTTTATTTGTTCATGGGATGTGGATATTGCTGGCTAGGCCAGCATTTATTGCCTATCCCAAATTGCCTAGAAGGCATTTAAAGTGTGGGTCTAGAGTAGGACAGAGCAAATAAGTCTAGCAGATTTCCTTCTCAACAATAATCGACTGTGATTACTAGCTTTTCATTCCAGATATTTATTTTTCACCATCTGCCACTGTGGGATTTGAATCCACGTTTTCAGAAAATTAGCCTGGTGTCCTGGATTACTAGATTCACATTAACTCTACACCACCGCCACCTCCCCATAATGTACTCCTGCCACATCCTGAGGAGGCCTGCAGCTGTCATCTAGTCCTGTGCCGGATGCTCTTTGGCCTCCATGGCAGCTTGTTGCTGCTCCTGAGCTTGCTGGTGCTCTGCTCTGCCTCCATCTGCAAGGTAGCATGTGGCTGGATCTGTCATTTTTGTGAGCAGTTATCTGTGTTGTGAAGTAAAGGAACTGAACAAGTTCAACTGAAGGATCAGTGCTGGCATATCCTGCAGATGATGGCTATGCAGACTTCCCCCATCAATGAGAAATGCAACGTTCCTGTACGGAGGACCCATATGGACCAATTATCATGGCGATTTGTGATAGTACAGTTCTTCTACCAAGGAACTATGTAAGTGACAAACACGTAGCTCTATATTGGGAGGCCTCCATGCATTCTGAATCCTTTCCATTTCAGCCCCATACCAACCATGAAAATTACCATTCCATATAGTAGGGTACTTCATAATACTTAGTGCAAGTGGTGAGGGATCTAGTTCTGTATCCCACAGCACACTTGGAAGCCTCACAAGTACGGCGTTTGTAGTGGCCAGTATGCACTATTTTGAAGTCAATTGCAATAACTTCTGCTTCATTGAGATGTTTGTTGGCAATTTTCTGGATGAATGACACGGTGAAAATTGTTTGTGATCAATATTTGCAGCCCAAATATTTGTAGTCTTACCTCAACCCTAATCCTAACCCTATCACATTTCAAAACACACTGATAAGCCTGATACGATGCGCATTATATGAAGCTGCGTTCGACAAGTGTACAATTGCTCCCTTCAATGTCTTCCCAATCAGCACAAGTCAAGCTCAGCTCATTTTGGTTGCCCATCAAAGTGACTCTGACTCTGCCCATCGTGGGTGCTGACTCAGGCATTTTCCAGTTGCAGGTTACTTGTAGCAAATGACAAGTGATCGCAGGGATTACAGATCACTGTGGATATCCTCATCATTGGATTCAGTCTTGTCATCAGGCACCCTGCCCAGATCCTCCGTCTATCCTTTTACCTTGCCCTACCTGAACTGTCCATTCCCACTGATGTCCCCAAGTGGGCACTCACCACATTGAACACCACCTCCAACTTTCCTCCTTGCTCCCTGAGTTTGAGGCCCACTGTGAGATTATACGCTCCCTTTTTTTTAAAAGAAGAATCCTACTGGAGTCAAAGTGTTAAATCTGTTTCTGTTTTCATTGATGCCTGACCTGCTGAATATCCCCAGCATTCTGTGTTTGTTTCAGATTTCCAGCAACTACAATGTCTTGCTTTTAGTCTCCTAGCTGTTTGCTTGTTACAGTTAATGGATGAGATGGGCCATGACACCTTGCCTGAAGGCTCATTCAGGGAACTAGTGGCTGATCTTCACTTCCCTTCCTTGGGGAAAGGAACAGTGGCATTCAGCATCATCAGGCCCTTACTGAAAACCCAAGTGTGTAAACGGGCACCATGACAGTTACTGGTGGCAAATAATTCGCCTTCCAATTCAACAAAGCTTGTCCACCATCTACAAGGCAAAAATTAGAAATATGATGGGATTCCCTACACTTACCTGGATGAATATAGCTCCAATAACAATTAAGAAGCTCAACACCATCCAGGGCAAAGCATTCCATTTGAGAAGCACCCCTTGCACCACCTTCAACATTAACCACAGACACCATTGGTATGCATGGCTGCAGTGTGTACATCTACATCATGCAGAGGACCAACTCTCCTGAAGTCCAGAGATCTCAACGTTCCAACGGACATTTATGTGTTATGTGTTATGTGTCACGCTGTGCCCAAGAACGCCACAAGAATTTAAAACAGAAAGTGCTGGAGAAACTCGGCATATAAGGTCATTCCAATATCTGGTCTGGCAGTATCTGTGGAGAGAGAAACTGAGTTAGCATTTGAGTCCGAAAGGATTGGTTCTTCAGCTTTCTGTCATCTGTAGTATTTTGTTTTTATTTCAATGCCATAAGAAATCTTATTTTGAAAAAGTATAATTTATTAGTGTTCCCAGAAGGAAATATCCTGGTCAACTTTGCAGATATAATTTTTAGCAACCCTGGTTATTTCATAGAATCCCTACAGTGTGGAAGCAGGCAATTACGGCCCATCGGATCTACAACAACCCTCTGAAGACCATCCCACCCAGCCCCCCCCCCCCCCCCCCGTAACCCTGCGTTTCCCATGGCTAATCCACCTAATCTGCACATCTTTTCACTGTGGGAGGAAACCGGAGCACCCAAAGGAAGTCCACGTAGACACGGGGAGAATGTGTGGAGTTTGCACAGACAGTTGCCGGAGGGTGGAATCAAACCCAGGCCCCTGGTGCTGTGAGGCAGCAGTGCTAACCACTGAGCCACCGATGGGATTATTTGTGCTGTTGCCGATGAATGAATCATTGAAGAAAACTAATTTTGATCGTCCAGACGTTATCTGTAGCATTAATACCATGAAGGAGAAGTTGAACAAAAACATACAGACACCTCCCTCGATCCTTGAAGAGTACCTGAACATAAGAAGGTTTGTCAAATGGCTCTACAGGGCACTAATGTCATGGGCCCTTCTAAAAACATCAGAGACATGGACAATTTACTGCAGTCATCTCACATCCCTTAGAAATAACACCACCATCAATGCCTCTGAAAAAAATCCTGCAATCCAATGGCATGACGGATGGTCCAATTTGCTTTTTTTTTAAAATTCACCCATGGAACATGGATATCACTGGTTGGGTCAGCATTTATTACCAATCTCTAGTTGCCTTTGAGAAGGTGGTGCTGAGCTGTCTTCTTGAACTGCTGCAAGTCAATGTGCAGTGGGTAGACCCACAATGTGGTTATGGAAGGAGTTCCAGGATATGGAAGGAGTGGGGAAGTATTTCCATATCTGGATGGTGAGTTGCTTGGAGGGGAGCTTGAGGATGGTGGTGTTCCTGTGTATCTGCTGCCTTTGTCCTTCTGATGACAGTGATCAGAGGTTTGGAAATTTCTGTCATGTATCTTTGGTGCATTTCTATAGTACATCTTGGAGATGGTACCTCCTGAGTGGAGCAACTGGCTGTTTGTGGATATGGCGCTAATCAAGCAGGATGCTTTGTCCTGGACAGTGTCACGCTTTTGGATTATTGGAGTTGAACTTATCCAAGCAAGTGGATGTCGTGATAAATCGCACTGGCTTTTCCCATAAAATCCAACTTGGACATGCCCTACCTTTTTGATGTTTAAAACACACATGAGTCTTGGTGTTATGTTTCATCTCAGCACCACTTATTCTGTACTTCAGAAGGCTCCCAGCATTTTTCCTATCCCTCTGTCTACTCCTTGCAAGTTAGTTTGGGGGTGACTAGGGGATAGTTCTGGTGATAACCGATCACATGGAACTGGAGGCTGTGTCTGTACTGCTCTAAGTAAGTTGTCCTCTCTTACCATCCTCTTTAAATAGTTTTGTAAAATGTAAATGTACATTTGTTTTAAAGAACTGCTATTATGCCAACTAACTGGAGTTCACAAATCTTAAGTCATCCAGTATAATCTTTAGTTTCAGCATGATAAAGCTGCTCTTATTGAATCATTGTAAAATTCTTGGTCTTTATTAAACATGGCTGACCAAAAATACTTCACACTGTTAAGTTTGTTCATCAAATTAGCACCGAACTAATTAATGCTTTCAAGAATATGAATAGAGCTATGAAAACTAGTTCTACGGGTGGATGTGATTTCTAGTACCTAAGACCTGAAGGAGAGTCTTATACTAAAGACTAGGTCTATTCGTCATTCTGTGACTCACATACTCTTCCAACAAGAATCATTGGACGGTGTTCAGAATTGGGAGCACAGACTAATTGGAAAATTTTCCCCTCAATGTCTCAGCAATGCTGAGATGCCAAGGCTAACTCTGCACAGACTGGGAATTAAACTGAAAACCTTCCTGACTCACTGCTCTGTTCAGAAGTCAATAGTCAGACTTTCTAATGACTTTTTTTTTCCTCTTGCTCTGAGCTGCAGTTTGGGAATATAATTTATTCAGTGCTCACTGTTGCATTAATTATGATGCCACAATTCTGAAGAATCCTGTGACCTGAACTGAATTTGTGAAATTCTTATTTGACAAAGGAGAGTGTTTGCTGGGAACTAATATGTGTGACATGGCAATGGAAAAGATATTCATTAAAGATGCTTTCTTTTTTCTTTCATAGTATAATAAACTTGAGATTATTGGATCTGAATACAAATGGAGCAGATATCCAGTTCCAAAGTTTAATCACACCATGGGGCAGAAAGTGGAAACCAGGAATCTCCATTGGACCGACAGGCTGGTGCAATATGGTTATCAGAATCACAGCTTCACCCCTGAAGAAAGGTCAGAGGGAACGTTCCTTATGAAAATGATCGAATGGCCAAAACCACCCAGCTCTGCTGTACCCTTTCAGAAAAGCAGCAACCCAGCACATGTTCGCTTTGTAATTTTAAATTCTGCAAAGACTTTCTATGTGGGAGATCAGTTACAAGTGATGCTGCAGATGTATGATTTTGAAGGTCACCCAAAGCGATACGGGGGTGACTATCTCCAAGCTCGGATCCACACCCCAGCTTTAAAAGCTGGTTCAGCAGGAACGGTTATAGACAACGAAAATGGATTTTACTATATCAATTTTAATTTATCTTGGCCGGGGAAAGTTGAAGTTTCTGTTTTATTAGTTCATCCCAGTGAAGGGATCCAAGCACTTGTAAGACTACGTGAGGAATGGCCAGAAAGAGTGTATTTAAAAAGTACCTTCAAATATCATGGTGCTTCAGAAACCACTGTGTGTAATCTTTATTTGCCTCAAACTGAGCCACTCTGTAACTTTACTGATCCTAGGACTGGGGAGCCCTGGTTCTGTTACAAACCAAAGCAACTTCCCTGTTCTGCTCGTATCAACCATTTTAAAGGAGGCTATGAGAAAAATCTCTTAATTGGAGAAGAGAGCCGTTATTTCCAAAGGTGTGTCAATTAATGTTCTTTTATTTATTTGTTTTCCCAACTTTCGTTCTGACTCATTATAATAAAGACACCAAGTATAGAACCAGGCTTCCCAACACTGGAAAATCATTTAAAATTGAAATTGAGGTACCTTCAGGAACGTAACCGTATTTACAACCTCTGTTGGTACATTGATTTGGAGCTCTCGTTAATTTTAGAAAGTTCCGATGCATCTTTGCTGTAAAAAGAATTGAAAATTGGATAACGGGTTTAAGGGCGGCACGGTGGCTCAGTAGTTAGGACTGCTGCCTCACCCTACCAGAGACCCGGGTTCAATTTCACCCTCTGTTGACTGTCTGTGTGGAGTTTGCACATTCTCCCTGTGTCTGTGTGGGGTGCTTCGATTTCCTCCCACAATCCAAAGATGTGCAGGTTAGCAGTTTGGCCATGCTAAATTGCCCATAGTGCCCAGGAGTGTGTAAGTTAGGTGGATTAGCCATGGGAATTGCAGGGTTACAGTGAAATGGTTGGGGGGATGGGTTCGGGTGTGATGCTGTTTGGAAGGGCGGTATGGATTTGTTGGGCGATTGGCCTGTTTCTGCACTGTAGGGATTCTATGATTATAAGTTACCACTATCCTCTCAGAAAGTTAAGACCTCCCGAATTATGGTGTTAGCAGTGGCCTTAAAATCGAACGACATACCAGGCTCAGAGTGTTAATTCCCTATGACACATCCATGGGATGTTAGCATGTCCAACATTTATTGTCCATCCTGAATTGGACTTGTGATTTCAGGGAAGAATGTCTAAGATTTTGACCCAGTAATGATGAGGGAATAGGGATATAGTTCCAAGTCAGAATGGTATATGACTTGAATTTATATCCGGTGATGTTCAGATGAGCCATTGTCTTTCTAAATGGCCGAGGCCACAGATTTGGAAGGTGCTGTCATTGAAGTCTTGGCAAATTGCTGCAGTGCATTTTGTATAATTACATAGCCCATACTGGTGGCAGAGGGAGTCAATGTTAAATGTGATGAATAGGCCCTGATCAAGTGAGCTGTTTTGTCCTGGATGTTAAGCATCTTAAGTGTAGGAGTTGCACTCATCCACCAAATGGAGATCATTCCAGCACATCCCTGACTTGTGCCTGGTAAATGGTGGAAAGACTTTGAAGATCCTGAAAGTGAGTTACTTGCTACAGAATTCCCAGTCTCTGACTTGTTCCTGTAGCCACTGATGTTGAAGTTATTTGACCTACTGAGTCTATGCCAGCTCCCAGTAAAACAATCCAATCAATCCTTGCCTCTGGTCAATGTCTGGAAATGTATTTCCTTAAAGTCCTCATCCAGTTTCATTTTAAAATTATTGATTGACTCTGCTTCGACCATTGTCAAGGGCAGCACGTTTTAGGTCACTTTCAACCGGCTGAGTAACACAGTTCATGCATTTCTTGCCCCAAATCCTAAATCCATTTCCATTAATCCTTGTGCCTTTAGTGAATGAAAAAAGCTGTTCTTTTGTCTACCTTCTCGAAACTAGTCATTAATCTGCTTGACCTCTATCAAATTTTTCCTCTGTCTCCTTTGCTCCAAGAAGACCAACCCCAGCTTCTCCAACTTGATATTATAGCCAAATTTCTTCTTCACTGCAGCTATCATGGCAAATCTTCCCTGCACCCTTTCGAGGACACTCACCCATGTAGTCCTGACCCATTCATTCATGAATGGTAGTAGACAATTAAATATCTAATAGGCTCCCAGAAATATTCCTCAATGGTGGGAGAGCCCTGCACATTTATATAGAAAAGACCTCTGAAGCATTGGCATCAATCTTCAACCAGAAGTGCCGAGTGAATGATGCATCTCAGCCTTCACTTTAGGTCCCAAGTATCACAAATACCAGTACGAATGGCTAAAGGCATTGAATATTACAGATAATCCAACAACAGTACTGAAGAATTATGCTCCAAACTAGTCAAGTCACAGCCAAGCTATTGCAGTATAGCTACAACACTAGCATCTAGTCAACAATGTGGAAAATTGCCCGGCAGGTCCAGTCCACTCAACGCAGGAAGAATCCAATCCGATCAATTACCACCCCATTAATGTACCCTCAATCATCAGCAAAATACGAAGCTTTAATAGTGCTATATCCAGGAATAATCTGCTCACTGGTACTAAACTTGGATTCAACAGGGCCAATTAACTCCTGATCTCATTACAAACTTAGCCAAAACATAGAGTCATAGAGTTGTACAGCACAGAACCAGACCCTTTAGTCCAACTCGTCCGTGCCAACCAGATGTCCTAAATTAATCTAGTCCCATTTGCCAGCATTTGGCCCCTATCCCTCTAAACCCTTCCCATTCATATACCCATCCAAATGTAATTTAAATGTTCTTATTGTACCAGCCTCTACCACTTCAGGCAGCTCATTCTGTACGCGCACCACTCTCTGCATGAAAAAGTTGCTCCATAGGTCCTTTTTAAATCTTTCTCCTGTCACCTTAAACCTATGCCATCTAGTTTTGGACTCCTCCAACCCAGGGAAAAGACCTTGGCTATTCACCCTATCCTTGCCCCTCATGATTTTATAAACTTCTATAAGGTCACCCCTCATCCTCTGCGCTCCAGTAAAAATAGCCCAGAGCCTATTTAGCCTCACCCTGTATCTCAAACCTTGCAATCCTGGCAACATCCTTGTAAATCTTTTCAGAACCCTTCCAAGTTTCACAACATCCTTCCTGTAGCAGGGAGACCAGAATTGCACGCAGTATTCCAAAAGTGGCTTAACCAATGTCCTGTCCACCCACAATATGACCTTCCAACTCCTATACTCAATGCACTGACCAATAAAGGCCTTCTTCACTGTCCTTATCTACCTGTGACTCCACTTTCAAGGAACTGTGAACTTGCAATCCTAAACATGCTTAAAAGAAATGAACTCCAGAGGTGGAGTGGTTGCCTTTGACATCAAGGGAACATTCAAGTATGGCATCAGGAGCCCCCAAAAATTGTTGCAGTTGTTCGAAATCATTTCTAGCACAAACGAAGATGGCTTGGAGATCAATCAATCAGTTCAGCCTAAGCACGTTTGCAAGGATTCCTCAAGGTGTTGTTCAAGGCCACACCATCCCCAAATACCTTATCAATGACCTTCCGTCCAACATTAAGGTCTGAAATGGAGATGTTCACTGATGATTCTACAATGTTCAGCACCATTCATGACTTGTCATATATAGAAGCAGTTTGTGTCCATATATAGCAAGACCCAGATAATATCCAGGCTTGGGCTGATAAGTGGCATGTAACATTCTCACCACACAAGTGCCAGGCAATGACCATTTCCAGCTAATGAAAATCTATTGCCCCCTGAATGTTCAATGGCTTTATTATTGCTGAATCTTGCACTTTCAGTATCCTGGGTGTTACCATTGACCAGAAGCTGAATTAGATTGGAGATCCAATCATTCTCTGATTTCCCGCTGAAATTGTCTAAAACCTTACCCACTGCTGATGTTAAACTGACTGACCTGTAGTTATTGGGAATGTCCTGAGACCTTTTGTTTTGAATGGAGATGTCACATTTGCCACTTTCCAATCCTTTGGTACCTTCCCTGTATCTAAGAAGTTTATGGAAAGCCTTTTCTTTATATTTACCCCAACATCCTTTAACAACCTGGAGCACTAGGCTTCTGAACCTTATAACCTATTTACTCTCAGCATGTCAATATTTCCAGTCCGTCCTTCCTATCAATTTTCACCCCATACATTAGCTTTACCACCTCTACTTCTACTGATATGTTGTAAGTTTTCCCTTCCTTAGAAAATGTAATAATATTGTAGAGTTATCTAAATGTAACAAATGAAGTATGTGGCTTCTATTTACTTGAAAATGTCTGGCATGTGTATTTGAAACTAAACTAATGTATACAATATTTTTGGACAAAAATTTGTGTGTATTCATTATGACATTATTATAATGACTTAACTTTTGATATTTTATATCTACAGTGGTGTCAACATCAAGAAGCCCATATTACCTAGATCACCAATGTACATAACAGTCAAGCCTTGTTCCCAAACAAGTAAGATATTTAAAAACCATTGACTATTACAGTGAAGGTTTGGTGTATTAGAGGAGACATGAATAAGGAGGATGATGGAATAATCCCTTACTATAAATAAGCAGAAGTTTGTTGCTTTTTTCAAATAAAATGTAATTTAATTCCCATGCAATTCTTCAACAAAGTAACATTTTGGGCTTTTTTGCTTATATATGGCAAGTAGGACTAATCAAGTGTTGATGTGTGATCTTGTTGGATTCAGGTGTGACTAATCCTGATCCAATAATTAAACATTAGATACTTATTGCTGTACAATTTGTGGTTTGAAAATGCAATCTAAAAGAGAATACCATAATTACTTAAAACATTCTGAACTACAGCACTTCATATCGTTCCTGATCAACCTCTTCAGAGTTGTTATTACAGACAGGTGGGACTTGAACTTGGGCCTCCTGCATTAGAGGTACAGACATTACCACTGCATCCCAAGAACCCTCCAAGCTGCACCATTTCTTTTCCCCCTTTTCTGTATTCAGAAGTGTTCTTATACACAACTGAATGTCTGTTTACCTATCTTCAAATCACTCATGACATTTTTTTCCCCAACTATTGACCACCACCAATAAATCACCTGTATTTTCCAATTGAATAATTAACATGCAAAGCCTATGAAAGACAATGCAAAGCATCAAAGGTGAGGGGGAGGAGGCTAAACCAAAATGGAGTTGGAAGCTACAACATTTCATTCTGTGTTCTCAGGTTTGGAACAGCTGAACTTACACTCCCTCTGAAGTTGGAATGAAAGATTAGAGCTGGAGCTGATCAGCCGCCCATTAGAAATCCAGCTCATGCTTATCTTCCATTGCCTTTAGCGAATCAGATTTCTATAGTGAGAGAAAAATGTGTAATGTTATGACTGTATTTTGATAAGCAATGCCACTGTAAGGTGGAGCATACAGTCTGTGTTTGTGAAAGGAGAGTCGCACCAGCCTGAATCAAATAAAAATGAAAATGGCTGTTCTGCTGCAAAACATTTCAATCAGGAAACAGGAAACAAGTAACCAGACAGTAACAATTTATAACTTTTAACTAAAGTCCAGGCAAGCATATCAACAATTATAATCAGTATGTAAATTTCTATACAGAACAGTGCACTGGGAACTGTTAAACATCTGGCCTGTATGCGGATACAATGCAATGTTGTCTGATAAATACTCAGCCTTCTTATTATTGAAACCAGGGACTCTCCTACTATGAAATTCAGAAACTAATTAAAATTATTCCTTTGATTTCTGTATCCAGATTTACAACTAATTTAAAATGAAATGTTACACTGACATGATGGCCTGGACGAGACAGTGCGTGCACAGACTCATGACTGCTGCCATCTTTGCATTGGGAACATACACTCCACATACTAATATCACCCTTTTCATAACCACTGAATGCTTCAAAGTGCCTTACAGCCAATGAAGTACTTTTGTAGAAACAACAGCAGTTAAATCCAAGTGCTGCCTTCAATAGGAAGTAAAATGAAATGGACAGTATAACTGGCTGCCAATCCATTACCTTAGGTTTAACACTCACTGAAGATGGACATTCAGGTGAAATTTCAGCAGGGAATGAAGTAATCCAACAGCATGAACATCTACACCCTCTTTTTGTTCATGCTGACAGATTTAACAAATATATAATACAGTTTCTCATATTGTGGAGAATTGTCTACAGCATTTAATACTGGAATCGTACTGCTGGGAATAGAGGATCGGTGTCTGTTGATTGACTCCATGTTTGTCAATCTTTGCATAAAAAGCACTTCAAGATTCAGCAATTGTTTCAATTCAGGGTTTGTCTGTACCTCTGCTTCCAGTGTGTGTTCCGTGTTGCCAAATAAGGAACCTGCTATAAAAGGGAAAAAAAAATGCTGGAGATACTCAGCATGTCTGGCAGCACCTGTGTAGAGAGGAAAACAGAGTTAACTTTTCAAACCCAAAGTGACCATTCGATTGATCAAGATCAAGCTGTAGCAACAATGTTGTATTCAAACTTTGCTTAGTATCCTTGCCAGTCCCTGCTATAAAATATCCAGTGAATAAACATAAGGTGTATAATGGGCTGACTATCCACCAGCATTTGTTCCTATCAGGGCTGGAAATGAAAACATCCACAAGGAATCTGTGCTTGGTGGAAAGGAATGCGAGATATCCGCAGAACAAAAGCAAAGTTATTGCCGAGGCAGGAGCTACACTGCAAAATAGGTTGTAATTTCAGTTCGGGTTTTTTACCAAACATTTGGAATCTGTTTCTCCTCTTTTTATTCAAAATATTTACATCATGAGAATGCTGAATGCAGCTTTAACTGTCAAAGGCACTGTGTTTACTCAACATGGTTACATAGTGTCCATTCTGGAGTTTTGGTTTAAAACATAATCAACTGAGAAACATTCCAGAAATAGTTCATATTCTTTATGTTAAGGATAACAGATATAATATGTAGTGTATTAAAACAAAGAACTGCAGGTGCTGGAGGTCTGAAATGGAAAGAAATTGCTGGCTTAACTCAGCAGTTCTGGCAGCATCCGTTGGAATAAAACAGAGTTAATGTTTTGTGTCCGGTGACACTTCTTCAGAACTCGGAAGCAGTTCTGTTGAGGAGTCATGGACTCGACGTTAGCTCTGCTTTCTTCCCACAGATGTTGCCAGACATGCTGAGTTTCACCAGCAATTTCTGTGAGAATATGAAATGTCTTGCTTAGTCTTTACTGCTAGGGCAGTACAAGGTGCTTGGACATGGAACTAATTCGAAGGAGCCAATAATTAGGTGTCGGGGTGAGTTCTTAGTTTCACAGGCTAAAAATGGGACATGAGATAGCTTCGGTAAATAGTATTAAGGAGATTCCAAAGGGATTCTACAAATACATTAAGGACAAAAGGGTAACTAGGGAGAGAATAGGGGCCCTTAAAGATCAGCAAGGCCACCTATGTGTGGAACCGCAGGACATGGGGGAGATACTAACGAGTATTTTGCATCAGTGTTTACCGTGGAGAAGGATACGGGAGATAGAGAACGTGAGGAAATAAATAGCAACATCTTAAAAAAATGTCCATATTACAGACGCCTTAAAATACATAAAGGTGGATAAATTCCTGGAACCTGATCAGGTGTACCCCAGAATTCTGTGGGAAGCTAAGGAAGTGATTGCTGGGCTCCTTACTGAGATATTTGTATCATCAATATCCACAGGTGAGGTGCCGGAAGACTGGAGGTTGGCTAACATGGTGCCACTATTTAAGAAAGGTGGTAAAGAAAGTCTAGGAATCTATAGACCAGTGAGCCTGACATCAGTGGTGGGCAAGTTGTTGGAGGGAATCCTGAGCAACAGGATTCACATGTATTTGAAAAGGCAAGGAATGATTAGGGATAGTCAACATGGCTTTGTGCATGGGAAATCATGTCTCACTAATTTCATTGAATTTTTTGAAGAATTAACGAAGAGTATTGATGAAGGCAGAGCAATGGACGTGATCTATATGGACATCAGTAAGGCAGTAAGGTATATGAATAGGAAGGGTTTAGAGGGATATGGGCCAAATGCCAGCAAATGGGACTGGATTAATTTAGGATATCTGGTCGGCATGGTCAAGTTGGACCAAAGGGTCTGCTTTTGTGCTGTAAGCTATATCGCTCTGTGATTCTATAATCTATTCATTCTGCCAACTTTTCCAAAGATAATTCAATCATCTAGTTGAGAGCCATATATACTGGATACTATATTTAATGGAACATGGTTTTATACTTTTAATATATCCTATTTAGTGTTTCCGTTATCACGATTACAGACTGAGGTTTAAAGGTGAGACCTCCTTATCATGATAGCTCAGTGACACACCAGCTGGTGTATTTACCCATTGACACAGACTTGTTCAGAATATTATTTAGACTATTTTTCTTCATGTACTTGTTTACTTCCTGTGGCAACAGCTAATGGCCCTGCTGGGATTGTCATTGCTTTGGAAACATTGGAGAAGTGTGTTGATAATTGAAGATGTAGCATATCACAATTCCTGTACCTCGTTTCTCTTTATTTTCAGCTCCGGCTCTTGGAGAATGTGTCCGGGGACAGCCCATGGTGTCACCATCTGGCTTTTATTATCAGGACCAGTGGATGTCAACGACCTGCAATATTCACCGTTTTGACACTCCTGCAAAAATTAAAGAATGCCTCCGTAGAAAAATTGTCTGCTTGCTTGGAGATTCCACCATGCGACAGTGGTTTGAGTATTTGACTCAATTTGTCCCAGGTTAGGCTATGTGTCATGTCTCTTTACAGTCGTACAGGCACTGTTCAAAATCTAGCATTATTAGGATCAAAACTGTGCTGGATTTCAGATTCTCCCAGATTTTAGATCAGGTAGTCAGTAAGGTACAGCCAGTAATTACTAGTTAGAAGTGAGTTTTAACTATGATGTTTTATTTGTCTTCATCTTTTCTGGAGAAAGTTAAACCACTTAGTTGACAGCCATGTTAGTAACCCATGTAAACAGTTGTGAGCCATTTGATATAGTCTGTTCTCATTATTCCAATTTTTTGGCGGTCAGACTAATTGATTCTCAATGCTTTGTGCAGAATTAATGCATTTCTGTTCCTTTTGAACATGTCCATTGGAGTGTGAATGATGTGAGATAATGTAAAAGCTGCTCTGCTTTTCTGAGAACTGTACCTTCTGATTTCTTATCTCTAATCCAAACTTCAGGCTTAGTATCAAAGCAGAGAAATTCTATGGTCTATGCATGGAATTATACCAATTCTTCTGATTTATTCTTGTATCATGGTCTTGAGGTACAACAATATTGTGGTCTTGATGTTTAGTCTGGGATCTTGCTGTAGTAATTGTGATTTCTGCTTTCAACCTTCCACTCATAAGGAACTCTGCTGATTAAGATCCTTTAGTTAAAGATGTTGGCTTGTGATTTAATAAAACTAAATTCCAATCACTGCTTTTGATCAGTAACAACATTCACTGCTCTCTAATTCTCCATTGGCCTGTGTGTGAAGAGGGGAACTAATGACATGATTGGTTCCTAATTTTGCTGTGAACCTCTTAAACTCTTTTTATTCACAAACAGCAGACTGTTGTCTGATCTGGATAAGATTGTCTTTAGTGCTATGATCACAGTTTCCACTGTGATGGGGATAAGTGTAAAACCTCTATCCACCTGGAATAGGAGTCTAACCTGATCAAATATGTACTTTTAAAAGGCAAATATGTCTAGTTCCAATCTTTGCCACAGCCTCTCTGGGAGACTAGAAGATAACAGCCTCCATTGGTGTCTGACCAATGATTGCACAGGTATAGTAGGATGATATAAAACTTGCAATTTTTAAGAAAATGTCTAGTCACCATGCAGACGGCTATGCCTAAGCTCAACACTTGGATATTCCTAAGAGCCCTTTGTGAAATCTACAAAGAAATCCTTCCCTCGTGCTCTTGTATTACCAGCACATGATTGAAAACGAGAAGACCATTTACTATGGCTAGACACTTCCTCTATTCTTGATATTGGTGTAAGGGCTGGTGTGTTGGACTGTATTTTAACCAAATGGCAGTCTTCTAAGTTGGTACAAACTCTTATGGGTTTTAATTATAGCGTACGTCTGGGAATCCTCATCTAGCTGCAATTGCAGGTACACATGGCTCATGTCCAACCTCATGAAGGACAGCCTTCCCTGTCAGCTTTGCCTGAGGGATTGTGTATTTATCCAGCTGCAAGAAGCAGTTTACCATATGTTTAAAATCCCCACAAAGGCAAACCAACCCCCTGGGCTTCACCATTGGCATGACTGGTGCTGCCCATTCCACAAACTGTACTGGTTTGATGATTCCTTCACTTTCCAGCCTCCTAATTTCTGCTTTGCAGAATCGTGGAATTGCTTCCTGGTGAACATACAAGGTGGCCTTGGCTCCTTTGATAGTCCCTGGATCTTCCCAAAAATCTTCCGAGTATTTAGTTAGAATTTCACTTAAGTTGCCATCTACGAAACAAAAAATGTTGAGCCAATCAAGTTGAATCTTTCGCAGCCAATTTCACCCCATCAGGCCTAGGCCCATGTCTTTATCTACAATAACTGGTAACTGAATCAGCTGCTTCTCATGAGACTGGAACTGAAGTTGTACTCTTAATGTGTAGTATAGGTACTTACACAAACTTAAAGGTCGGAGTCCAGAATGAATCTTGTTAAAGACTGGTTCTGCAATCACTGATGCAGCTGCACTGGTATCGACCTACATTAGAACTGGGTGACCATTTAACCAGACATTTTATTTTAATTGGTCCTGATTTGCATGTTGCTAAGCAATTTAACTGCTCCAAACCAGATGTAGGTGGACTTTCCCCTCGATACTGACTATGAATAGTCTTACTCCATTTAGGCCTGGGGGACTCTTTTGGCTCCCTCGAGTTCACATACCAGCAACAACTACCATGACTTGCCGGCCCAGGTCCTCAAGAAAATTTTGACCATTTGGCCAAGGCTTGGCTTTGTTTTGGGGTTTTGCTGTGGCCTGACCTGGTGTCCCTTTGTTCAGGATATATCCTGACTGAGACTATGCAAATACCTTCACTCAAGTGCTGACCCCCAAGCTCAGTCAGCCTGGTGAGGGTGTCCACTCCAATTGACATGCCCTGTAACTCATTTGCTCCACTTGCCGCATTTTCCAATGATAAAGCCAGTTGTAGTTTCTGTTTGAAGTCCAGTTGGGCTTCAGCTAATAGGCGCTTTTGCATGGTAACATCATTAATCCCACATACCAAATGGTCTCTCAGCATCTCATTAAGGGTTAAACCAAGATCACATGCCCCTGCCAGTTGTCTTAACCTTGTCAAAAATACTGACACAAATTCCCCTGGTTCTTGAACTGCTGAGTAAAACCAATAGCATCTCAAAATTAGAGGACGTTTGGGGTCATAATATCCGTTAACTAAATCTGTCTACTCTTGAAAGATTTTAGTATCTGGTGCCTCATGAAACCTGAGGCTCCTAAAAACTGAAAAAGCTACAGGCTGTCAGGAGAATCACTTGTTGCTTTTCATCCACCCCAATGTCATTTGCCCGAGAAAAATCACACATTCTTTCAATATCTGGGCCCAGTCTTCAATGGCAGGACCGAACAAGTCAAGCTTCCCTAACAATAGCATGATGACAGTAAAGCTTACCCCAACTCCAAGACAACTGTTGCAAGCAAATTTCTTTGAGAGTGTGCTTTTCTCTCATCACCAATGAAATTACATCCCAGAGACCAGTATCCCTTCACCTACTCACCCTTTATTTACATGTACATTGTACTCGACGCTGGTCTGGCTTTCTCAGAGTGAACAGAGCCCCTGACACTCCTGTCTCATATTTTGAGGTCCCTCTAGCTGACATTGTCACAATCACTACATATTTAATGATCAGTAACTTCCCATGTGTAACTATTTACTTGACGTCACTGGAACCCTCCGAATTGTCTGATTTAAATGGACGTTGTCCTGGCGGGGAGGTCTCGTCCCTGTGTGGAGGTCTTCTTCGTCTTTAGCTTCCAGATATTCCAGGGGCCTGGCAGGCAGTCTCATCCTGGAATAGTGGGCTTGTCCTGGCTGCACCTTCAGCGTATTCCACTGTTTCTTAATCAGCTTTCCCCAAGACCAGGTGTTGTTAACTAAACTGCGATGAACTTTATCTTAATTTTACTTTTTTTAAATTATTACATGTGACTTTTGTCATTGATGTTGATGCCGTGACAGGATGACTTAGAAAACTGTTCACTGTATTTTTCATGTAAAAGTGCAAGTGACAATAAATTTCTATTCTATATGATAGAATCCCTACAGTGTGGAAACAGGCCCTTTGGCCCAATAAGTCCACACTGACTCTCATCCCATCCCACCCAGACCCATCCCCATCCCCATCCCCATCCCCATCCCCCTATAACCCACCTAATCTACACATCCCTGAACATTATGGGCAATTTAGCATATCCAATCCACCTAACCTGCACATCTTTGGACTGTGGGAGGAAACTGGAGCACCTGGAGGAAATCCATGCAGACACAGGGAGAATGTGCAAACTCCACACAGACAGTGGCCCACGGGTGGAATTGAACCTGGGTCCCTAGTGCTGTGAGGCAGCAGTGCTAACCACTGAGCCACCATGCCACCCCTTACCCATTCCTTTACCCCACCATCCTTACCTTTCCTCAGTGGGACAAACCTATTCAGTACCTGTAGCAACTCTCCCTAAACAACCCCCACATTTCTATCGTGCATTTCCTGGGAACATCTGATCCCAATTGGTGCTCCTAAGTTCTTGCCTAATAGCATTGTAATTCCCTCTTCCCCAATTAAATACTTTCCTATACCAGCTGCTTCTATTCCTCTCCATGACTATAGTAAAGGTCAGGAATTTGTGATCACTATCACCGAAATACTCTCCCACTGAGAGATCTGACACCTGGCCTGGTTCGTTTCCAAGCACCAAATTCAATATGGCCTCCCCTCTAGTTGGCCTATCTACATCTTGAGTCAGAAATCCTTGCTGGACACACCTGTCAAAATCTGCTCCATCCAAACTCTTTCTATACTAACATTTTCAGAGGGTTCCAGGTGTAGAGGAATTGCTGAATAGAATCTCCAGTTTCCTGCGTTTGTTCCAATGAGGATTCCACAGGATCCCCAAGAGCATCCCATCTCCTCTGGGAATAACAGCCCATCTGGCCTGAGGAAAACCCAGGCCACGATTCTCACTGGTTTGCTGCTCATTTGGCTAATTGTGGCAGTAAACTGGCCTTGCACTTGGAGATCTCTGTACCCAGACATGTTAGTCTGATGCTCACTGGCTAGACATTCACTGGTTTCAGCAATGACCAGCATTCGCTTTCATTTTCTTATCAGCAGCATTAGTCTCTGAGGCTGGTACATGGCAGTGATTTCAATGCCATGATCAGTGTGCCAACTCTGATCACCATGTGCAGAATATCCATGCAGCCATGCAGCTTTGAAGGAAGGTTCGCCAAGACAACAGCTTGGCTAAAACACAAACTGCTACACTGATATCTCATTTCAACTTTGATCTTGAAGCCTTTCACTTCCAGTTTGATGGCTCAGAATCTCTGTTTGTTTTTCCAAATAAGCTCATCTTTTATTGTTTTATGTCCACAGCAACCTGCTATCTACCAAAGCTCAGAAAGAAATTACTCTATTTGCCTCAGGTACCTTTTGATCAAATTGCACTCGTTCAATTATGAGATTCCATTTCAAACTCAAAAATATACTTGGCTTGAAATCTGTCAGACTCGTTAACCCATGTTTCAAAAAGGACATTGCCACCTATCGGCCTGACTGCACACAAGAACGTACTGACCTTGTGATTCCATTCTTTGACATGCAAATCTGATGCAGTCCAATTATCACTGGAACTGCTTCTTCCACAATTCTCAATGTTGACCCCTGTGTGGGCCTTCTGCATTCTGGAAATGCTGCAGTAGAGACAGTGACTCATCTAGTGTAACCACCCCCACAGCTTCAGCACAACTCAAACCCATGTAAATTTTCTGATTTGTTCTTTTCTTGATGTTTGCAGAAATTTCCTAATTTTTCTTTCCTTGTATACATTTGCTTTTCTCCTCATGGATTTCAATCGGTAGCTCATACTGACAATGAAATTGAAGACTCCCTGTGGTTTGACACATGTAGCAGCTTGATGTACCAGCACAGATACAACCCTTAGTTGTTCAATCCACATGAATAACATCTTCCAAACCCTCAATCTCTCACACCTAGAAGATCAAAGGAAGAATTACAGATAGGCAACAAGTCTTGATCTTTTCAGTAATGACCTCCCTGTGGGACATCTCTTACAACTTTATCATAAACTGGTGCTGAAGAGGAATTTGTGAAGTGCTGAGGATGTGCCTTTGGTGTTTCTGGTGTTGAAGCTGATGTCAGGT